CGGGCTGCTGAACATTCATGTGGACAGCTGGACCTAGTCCAATAGCTTATGACTTAGATAAAACACAATCACAAAATCCTGGTCTGGTTGTACATAGAAAGACTAATTACTGAGTGAGAATAAAAGAAATAGCACAAACCAAGCAACACTGAAGCAGAGTTAACTACTACGAGTTTACATTCAAGAGAGATAAAGAACTTGCGCAACAAATTTCTTACCATATGATGGAGATTCTCGGCCATCCTCTCTATCAGTTTCTTTTTCTTTTTTCCTTCTGTGATGCCTGTGCCCACGATGTCGATGCCGCCGACGGCCTGGCTTTCCAAGTGGGACATGAACTCCAATATACACAGCTCTGTGGCCTGTTCAAGAAAGTTTAAAAGGAAAAAATTAAAGAAAATACGATCTCCTGCCCATATTTAGTGTCTAGAGACATGGGGTTTGACAAAAAGAAATCCGAAAGCACTTGACAAAACTACCTTTAGTAAACTATCGAGACCACTTCCTTTCTGTCCTTCCAGGGTGTCAAGCAACTAGTGCTAGACTCATTTCCCTGATAAACTGGGCCATATTCTTACTCAGTTTAAGAATTCAGTTGTGAAACAAGTAATACATAAATACAGGTTTGACATGTAACACTGAAAGAAGCTACTTGATAAATATGAAGCCAAGGCAGAGGAATTACACTTTTTTGTGTAATTTTCTAGTAAAGCTCCTCTTTTTTACAGGGATTAATACCAGGACAGTCACTAGACTGGCAAAATGTAATCTCCTGGTTCAGCTTATTAGCATCAGTAAGAAACTGGCCCATCGTTTAGAGTCTGCACGGAGTTTTCTCTTCTTGAAAGAGCTGCCAACATTTTCTCAAGTAGCATGTAACACATCTAGATGGAACTGATGTTCAATTATACTATTAATTTAGTATCAGGAACATAGTAAGAACTTATATTTTGAAGTGTATGTCAACACCTCAAATAACTTACAGAGAGGCTGGGGTTTTTTTTCCTATCCTAGTTTTTTTTTAATAAATTTAGGAGGACATCCTCACATTAACAGACTGCTCTTTAAACAATATACTTTCAGCATCTTGTTTTTCCTTTGACCTTTGACATTAAGACAATACTAGCATCAACAACTTGGCAAAAGAACTCTATCAACAGACAGTTATAAACATATTACTACCATGTGTCCTGTAATGGAGATAGCATATACAACAGCCTTTTCAATTCCTATTTAAACAAACAATCTCAGGAAGAGACATATTAACTAGAAGCCTGCAGGTTAACACTAAATATTCTGTTTCATACTGCAGAAGAGTTATTTCAGAAGACTGACATTAACCAAAGGAAAAGGAAGTGGCTTTCCAGCTCTTAGACAGATGCAAATTCAGCAAATTTACATGTTACAAGCAAGCCCTAGGAGCTGTGACTGTACACACACATATATTTGTGTGTAGAGAACACACAGACTAGACTGAAGATATCAAAAAATCCTGGTGATTACAGAGTTTTAAAGAAATAAGTGTTAGGATGTCAACCTTCTTTTCCAAAAAAGAATCCCTAAGCCCAAAAAGATATTGGCTTTATAGAAGTTTTGTGTATTTTTACAGTGCTACATGACTAAAAATACATGTAAAAATCAGTATTGATACATGAGGAAGTTCAATGTTTAATTAATTTGGTCAAGATTCCTTTTCACATAACAAAACCCAATTCTTGACAGACTTCCAACAACTAGTTTAATTAGAGTCAACTGACTGACACTATGACCAAGTCTGAAATTAAGCATATTAAAAGCTATTTGTTTCCATGAGTGGAAAAGAGATTAATATAGAGTCCTATTTATAGAGAGAGACTTGTCTTTTGTGAGCTTCTTCCAACAGGAATACCAGCCCCTGCTGGGCAGCCTGACCTCCACTCTCCATGACTGCTATGCACAATGCAATTCCCAGAGAAATTAATGCCAAGGTGACACCCAAACAGAAATCAGTGCACTTGGTATATAAGATGACTAGGAGGCACCATTAACAATGGTCATGTTATTGATACCATCTCGATACAATGATCTTATGCACAGAGAAAGCAAAAGTGGTAGGTTCAAAAATTATTGCTTTACTCACCACACCCCACTCAAAGCTGCCTGGTGCAAAAGAGTGAGCCACCACTCACTGCAAATGTTGTTATCATGCCCGTTGGGATTTCTGTCTTATTTTATATATTCAATTGGCAATTATTAAACAACAGTTTACATATACATCTAAGTAGTTCTATTCATCGTCAAAATGTTGGGTTTTTTTGCAAGAACTATTTCTTCCCAAGAGAAACTCCAGCATTCTTCTACCAATAGAACATTTTATATAATTGCTTGGTTTAATATTGTTAATAAGACTGTTTTAAGCACGTGCTTTGAACATTGCACGCAAAAAAAACCCCTTGCAGTAATCTGAAACTGTTCAAAATTTTCCTTCCTGAAAAACTGGAAGGACTTCCACATTTTGGTCTCTTGCTGTTCCCATAAATTAGAGACAAGGATCCCACACTGTTTTCTGTACTCAATAAACAAAACCCCCACATAATTTTTTCAAGGGCCTCCATCTTCAACAATATAGCCTGTTACTGCAAAAATTGGCATTTGTAATAGTGTGATCATTCCCACAGTCAAAGACTATGTTGCTGCATGAAGGGGAGGTAGAACAAGCAAATGAGGAGTCTATCTCCTTTTACAAAATTGCAGTCTGACAGAAAATTTTTTTCAGTAGAAAAAGTGTGAAGAAGAGCAGATATGTTGCAAAGGGACAGGTAAAAGCTATGGAAAACCAACCTGAAATAAGCAACAAACCAAAAGTATTTTTAAACAACCTGTGTCCATAGCAAATTGCTTTTCCACCAAAATGCACTGACCTCTCAGCTATGACTTATCCCAGAATCATGTCCAGGTGCCTCATAGCTGCTTCAAGGCACCCAAGTAGGCACTGTCAGTCAGTCAGCCCACAACCCACAACACCGACATTGCTTTGCAACTCTGAAAGGAAACTTTAAAGAGCCCACCTTCTCGCTACCCTAGCAAATGAGGATCTCACAAAACAGGGGAACACAGACACATAGTCTTGCAGGCAAATGAAAAACAAAAATACCTTCCTCAAACCACTTCTGTATATGCAAAGTGACTGCTACACCTGCAAGGGTATCTTGGGATGATATGAAATGTTGATGAGAAAGATGATTTGCAGCAATGATTAAGTAAAATGCATCACAATCCAATGTAATCCTATTAGAATAACTTGAAGAAAAAACTTGACGCTGAAAAAGAGCCTCTGAATTATTCTTCTTTTTCAGAGTAAGCAAGCATTGGGGGAGGCAGTACAATAGATTAAGAAAAAAATGGCTATTGCAAACAGTGTTGTTACTTAAGAAAGGGACTTTTTTTCAGTATGACAAACTGATGTCAAAAATAAAGGCATCTCAACTACTACCTAGGAAATCCAAAACTATTGCTGTTGAGTATACTGCCATTATTAACCAAAAACTTACTGCAGGTATACTCACTCCAAAGGCAGGGCAAAATTAGAAAATACAAGTTGGACAAGCTTCACTTTGATTCTAAATCAACAAAGCAAAGCACTGGGAAGCCCTCTAAGCTGCACTGAGTATAAGACAGCTGCATTGAGTAGGTCCATGCTCCCTTAAGTTTCATTATTCAGATAGGAATAATAATATTTGCAGGTGGACAAAGATTTACTTACAAACACAATTTACGAGGAAAAGCAAAATAAAACAAAAGCACAGGGATTTTCTTTTCCTTCATCCTCAATTAACAGGTTGAAACAACTTATAGTACCCTTCAGCCTAGCAAAAAGAACAAAAAAAAAACAAAGAAAAACCCCACACCACACCCACGCAACCAACCAAAAAAATCAACCAATCAAAAAAAACATGCAGAAAGGCAATTAATATATTATTATAATAGCAATGGAGAAGAAGTTAGCTCTAAAAAGGCTGGAATTTATATTTCTAGCATCAGTGTTATTTCTAAAAGGAAATAACCTTTTAGAAAAAGAACCTTTTTCTTGAATATTGTTTTTTAAAGGCTTGAAAGGTACAATTACGTGACCTTCAAAGCTTTATTCACATAAATGTCTGTACCATAGTACAACTTTCAAGCAAATCTTCTTATAGAATTACTATAAACCAATAATCGATAGAATTAGTAGACTGCCCAATACTAAATTTAGTAATACAAAGCTCAAGAGATAATTGCTCATTTTAATCCAACATGACTTTATCCAAGCTTAGCTGTTCAAATCCACCAAGAGTATTTACTACTTAAGGCCTTTATCAGTATGAAACAAATTTAAATGTTAGGAACTTGAAACATCTCTATCACATGGTTGGTATCATTCCAAAAGTCAGTTTGTGTGAAGTTCTTTAAAATTAACAAAAAAGAAAATGCTTTAAGTTCCCCAATTTCTCCCCAAAGCCCCTATGAAATGGTACAAGAAGACTTCTGAAGTCTGAGAGAGATCAAAAACACGTATCCAAAAATGCTCTAATGTGGCAATGCTTGAAGTACAGTTCCACACAGAACTTCCTATTTTCTTTGGCTAGACGCCTTTTAAGCTTCATACAAAGAAGAACATTCTTTCACATATTAAAATGGTATAGAAAAAAATTCAAGTGTATACCTATGCGAATTCTCAAAGCCTATTACTTAGAAATTTGAACTAAGAGAGATCATATATTAATGATGGAGGTAAGGACCATCTAGAGGTGAGCTACCCAGTCCAATCTTGCTCAAAGTACAGCCAACTTTAAAGTTGAAGTCATCTTTTTGATCAGGTTGGTTAGGATCCCAACCAGCCAGGTTTTTACTGCCTTTAAGGATATATACTCTACAGCCTCTCCGGGCAACCTATAACGACCTATAGCAATATAATGCATGAAAAAAAATTCTTAATATTCAATCATCACTTCCAATACTGCATCTTACATGTGGTTCCCCTCATCCTTTGAAAATGCACCTCCAACAAGAGTCTGACTCTATATCCTCAATAACCTCCCAAGTCTGCTGAAGACAAAAACCTTTGTGACAAGAATTACTACTTTTTCCTAAAATCTTCAAATAATAATCTGAAGATATATAATTTATTTTAAACAGAGATAACATCTCGAATAACCCCTTTGTCTATCTTGCCTCAATACAGAGCATTCCAGTATGGAAATACTGGAGAATCTGCGGGAGAGACCCTAATTTGCTCCTTTAGATCATAAAATGGGGGGGAAAACCCAGCTCTTTTGTAGTCCCTTAACTGACATCTCCAAATGCATCCCCTAGTAGGAAAGATTTGGAACATAGCATCT